CGGACCCTGCAGCCGGTGCATTGGGCAGCACAGAAGCACTTACAATACAGTGGATTTTTTGGACAGGACAATATCTCCTTTGAGCTTGGCTGTGGTGACAGAGTTCTGCCACCTCCGTAGTTATTAAGGTGCTTCCCTGTTGGCTCTGGCAGGTCGAGAGCAGACTAGGGAACCCTGCAGTGCCCTTTGAGGGGAAGTGTGAAGCGAGGAACTCCGCACGAGCCTTTGAAAATGATAAAAATGTCAAGGGGACCAGAGCTCCCCTTCCCTCTGCTGGCTATTAATTGTGTTACAATAGTGCCCAGAGGCCCTACGCAGGATCTCATTGGACTGGGTGTGGTACAAACGCGGAGCAGAAGACTGATTTTGCCCCCAAGTGCTCTGTCTACATTCCCCTCAACTCCCATGCAAAGAGTAGTGCTGAGTGTTTAAAAAAATCACAAGTCCGGTCTAAAAAATCGTGAGTATTTTTTTTTTTTTATTTTAAAGAACTTTGTGTTCTTCTAGGGAGACCAGATGTCTCAATTTTATAGGGAAAGTCCCGATTTTTTGGGTCTTTTTCTTATATAGGCTCCTATTACCCCCCACTCCCTGTCCTGATTTTTCACACTTGCTGTCTGGTCACCCTATGTTCTTCTTAATTTGCCTTCTGCTTTCTGAACCTTTTGGGTGCACTTGGCCAATGCTGCCTTGTCTTTTCTCTGCAGCCAGAAGGGCTGAAACTTTGTGAATGAAAGCTGATCTTCTCATGGTATCCGTTACCTCCCGCGAGCTGAAGCTTTAAGATAAACTGCACGGACCATGCAGGGCAGCAAGAACCCTGTGATAACAGTGATAATGCCATCTCCCCAACCAGGATTGGATGGGGACTGGCCAGACCCTGCCCCCTAATTGCACACCAGCCAGCAGATCAGCTGGAGTGGCCCTCCCCATGCTTTGCCTGCCACTGCAGGGCCGTCTCTCTGGCCCTAATTCTATCTCTGGACAAGCTCATGTCACCGTCCCTGCCTCTCCGGTTTTTCTGAGCAGCTGAGTCTGATGAAGTGTCTAAGCAGATCTGAAAGGGAGCAGCAGGGATTTTCTGGGGATTGATTGGGTAGCTCCTCCTCAGGCTGGCTCCGCGTTATGGATGGGAGCCCCGGCCGTGCTGCCTCCAGATACGAGCCAATGCAGAGAGTGACATGATTTTTTGCTGCGCAGTGGAGTCGCTGGTGCAGGGACAAGCAGCTGTGTCCGCAGTCTATAAATTTCTCATCAGGTTGTTTTCCGTTTGTGGATGCAGGTTCTGTGACCTGGCCTGGGGTATGCTAGGTAATTGAGCAGTGGGGTTGTTTGTCACTTGTAACCTTGGGGATTGTAACATGTCCTGTACCCTGAGCAGAACAACTGAAGCTGCAGGCCATAGCCCGGTTAAACATTAATTGGTAGCGAATCTGAAGGTGGAAGGCAATTTGGGTGAAAATGATCATGAAATGTTACATTGTCCTGATTGTAAGGGAAGGAAGGAGTGAGAGCAGCAGAATAAGGACAGTGGAGTTCAAAAAAGCAGACTTTAACGAACTGGTCGGTAATGTTCCCTGGGAAGAAACCCGAAGGGGAAGAAGGAGTTCAGGAGAGCCGGCAGTTTCTCAGGGAGAGTCTATTAAAGGCACAACTGCAAACTATCCCGATGTGAAGGAAGTATAGGAAGAGGCCAATATGGCTTCATCAGGATCTCTTTAATGACCTGGAACTCAAAAAGCAATCCTACAAAAAGTGGAAACATGGACAACTTGCTAAGGAGGGGTACACAAGAACAGCACAAGCGTGTAGGGACAAAATCAGAAACACCTATCAAGGGACATAAAAGGCAATAAGAAGAAGCTCTTTATATACATTAGAGCAAGAGAAAGACAAAGGACCTCTACTTAGTTGGGAAAGAGAGCTAATAACTGATGACATCAAGAAGACTGAGGTGTTTAATGCTTGTTTTGTTTCAGTCTTCACTAACAAGGCTAATGGTGCCCAGATATGCAAGGCAATTAACGTTAACAACAAAGGGGAAGGAACGCAAGCCGAAATAGGGAAAGAACGGGTTAAAGAATATGTAGATAAGTTAGATGTGTTCAAGTTGGCACAGGGCCTGATGGAATTCATCTTAGGGTACTTAAAGAACTAGCCGAAGCAATCTCAGAACCATTAGTAATTATCTTTGACAAATCATGGAACACGGGTGAGGTCCCAGAGGAGTGGAGAAAGGTTACTATGTTTGCCTATCTTTAAAAGGGGGAACAAGGAGGACCCAGGGAATTATAGACCAGTCATCTTAACTTCGAAACCTGGAAAGAAACTGGAACAAATTATTTAAAAAATCAATTTGGAAGCCCCTAGAGGTTAATGGGATTATATGGAATAGCCAGCATGGATTTGTCAAGAACAAAATGCCAGACCAGGATTACTGGCCTGGTGGATAGGAGGGAGGAAGTATACATGATAGATCTTGATTTTTAGCAATGCTTTTGACACAGTCCCACATAACGTTCCCATAAACAAACTAGGGAAGTGTGGGAGGGCGTAACTAGTGGGGTCTCGCAGGGGTCAGTCCTTGGTCCGGTAGTAGTCAATATTTTCATTAATGACTTGAATAACAGAGTGGAGAGAGTGCTTATAAAATGTGCAGATGACACCACGCTGGGAGGGGTTGCAAGCACTCGGGAGGACGGGATTAGAACTCAAAATGACCTTGACAAATTGGGGAACTTGTCTGAATTCAACAAGATGAAATTCAATAAAGATAAGGGCAAATTACTTCAGTTAGGAAGGACAAATCAAATATACAACCACAAAACGGGGACTAACTGGCTAGGTGGTCATACTGTTGAAAAGGATCTGGGGGTTATAAGCATCCGGAGCCTGGACTGCTTCGCTCCAGCTGGAGGGCAAGTTTCCCAGCAATATCCTTGCCCCTTCTGCCCTAAACAGGAGACCCCGGTAGAAGGTCAAGTGATGTTCAGTCTATAAGAGTCCGTCCTCTGAGATCACCCACAAAGGGACCAGCTGATAGCTGTTTGGATGGCTTTGTTGGGTGGAGTCTTGTCTGCTCCTATCCATGAACTTATCTGGCCCTGTCACCATAGTATTCGAGCACTTCACAAGCATCAATGTATTTATCCTTCCCCCATGAGGAGGGCAGAGCTGTTATTCCCATTGTACAGGTGGCAGAGCTGAGGCACAGAGAGACTCACCCAAGGTCATACGGGGAGGCTGTGGCAGAGCCAGGAGTAGAAACTAGGTCCCAAGCATCCCATTCCCACCACTAGCCTGTCCTTCCTCTCACTAGCTTGGCCGGATACCACCAGCTCCTTTCACCATGTCCCTCAGTTTAAAGAACAAAACCCAGCCAAACCCCGCCCCGCAAACCGTCTCCTGACAGCAATTCACTCCCTACTGACCTGAGCTGGATTCTGAGCAGGGATTTAGGGGTGACGGACCCCAGATCCTATTCTCAGCCCCTTTAGCTGCCATTTGCTTTCCTCAGCTCTGTTGTCTGGTAGCACAAAGCCAGGATGAAGGCACAGAATCAGATCATTTCTTTCATAAATATGTGTGTGTGGGGGGGGAGACAATCAAATATTTCAGCACCCTGGGGAATATGAGAGAGAGAGAGGTGTGTGTGTGTGTGTGTGTGTGTGTGTAGTATATATATATATATATATATATATATATATATATATATATATATATATATATATATATATATATATAT